TGTATATATATATATATATATACACACGCTAAAACAGAAACTGGTCCCATCATTTTGGATGTCACTGTTATGGTGCAGAGACGCAGGCTGATGATGTAACCCATACTGCCCGAATTCTCCAATTGTAAACTGTGCATTCGATCCCTTGTGCACTTTGACTGAGTACACACTTCATAGAGGGGTGTAGGGTGTAGTGCAATTATTGGGACCGGGCTGTGTCCATATTCAGAAGCTGCGTCCTTTGAAGGACCTGGGCTACATAGTCTACATGGGCCATGTCCTTTGTGGACCATGTAGACCAGAAGAAAGTGGTTAATTTGAACAGTCTATAGCCTTCAGCTATATTCCCAACCTAAACAGTTATTTATACTTAAAAATGACCTTTCGTCTAGCAACCGTGATGGCGCTAAACTACAGCAATGACGGTTGAAATTAGCAAAATATTAATATTACTAATATAAATTTACAAAATTAGCTTGAAGGCAATACATGAAGAACTAAAGGACCCGCCATACAAGCTCATTTATTTCGCTGCATGAGCTCGTTTACAAGGATTTCTGACAAATAAAAACATGTCTGCAAACAAGAAATGCCATTCAACACAACCTCTTCAAAATGTTCATTTTTGTACCACCAGATTTTCATTTAAAACTGCAATCCTTTTTCTTACTTTAACCGCCATTAGAAGAAAAAAGAATCTTCTGGTCCACCCACAATGCATCTTGGGATAGGGTGGGAAAAGGAGGACGCATCTGTGGGCTGCAACTGGTGGAGCCTTCGAGTTTGGACAGCCTTCTGCGCATCTCTGTGACGTAATCGGCCTTCAAATTTGGGCCTTCGAAGAACACAGTCCCTGAATTTGGACACAGCCAATAATGACTCGTCATTTGTCAATGAAAAATAATGGGATAAAGTTCATACAGCAGAAGCTGAGAGCTTTCCTCTGCACTCTGAGCTTTAACACATCTTGTAAGATGTGGCTGTGGCAGCCATCTTGAAAGCAACATGCGTTCCTTTTCTCTCTCTCTCTCTCTCTCTCTCTCTCCCTCTCTCTCTCCCTCTCTCATTGGTCCACTCCATTGTCAGCCTCCAGCTTCCTCCTTTAGACACCTCCCAGGGCTCCATCAAAGACAACGGCTGAGCGTGCATCTCCCTCTTTCTCTTTCAATCTCTCTGCCTTTCTCCCTCCTGAGAATGGCTGATTACTGTTCGCTCCACGGGCTAAGTGGGGCAGATAGAAAGCTCAGCTGGAGAGAGAGAGGGACACAGAGAGAGAGAGAGAGCGAGAAAGAGAGAGAGATGGAGAACAAGCAGAGGAGAGGATCCTGGCTCAAACCCACACAGGCACATTCACGTGCCGTGGCAACACTGACAACGATGCAAAGCACATAAACGTCCTCACTGCCAACCCTGAGCTCCCAGCACAACACATGTCATCTGAGCACTACGCGCAGACTTCAGAGCGCAAATAAACAGGTCCCTGCAAAGATGTGTAAAGACATGCTCCGACACAGGGACGTGTGCTCATAAGCTCACTCACACGTGCGCGAGTTGAAAGAGAAAACACGCTGAGACAGACTGACAACAGGAATAACAGAGGGCAGAACTGATCTCCAGTCAGCACTCAGCTGCAGGCAGGACACAGCTGGCAAGGACGGAGAGGTTAAAAGCCTCACGTGCCTCCCCCCCTCACCTGCCGGCCCAGGCAGAAGCAAACGTAAACATTAGATGGTGAGCCAACGATCTGATGCAAGACAGAAAAAGAAATGTTGAGATTGGAGAGACTCATATTGTAGTTTGAGTCACAAGCAGCTCTTTACCAAAGCATTCTGCTTTATCTAAGTCAGCTGGTTGATTTTAACATTTGTAAATTGTTGATTTGTTGACATTCTCATCAGTGAAATTTATTAAAATCAACACCTATATTTACCAGTTTTTTATTTAAATTTTAAAAGGGTTCAAATACTGGATGTAGAGGATACCATAGCTGTGTTTGAGTGTGGATGAGAGCAACAGGCTCTCAATGCAGGAACATGTAATCTGAGGACTGGAACTGTGCTAAAGGTTATAAACTCTTCAGATTTAGCTTCCAGGAAGTCAGATTTTCCTGTGATTTTGATCAGCAATTCTCCAGAGTTTCTGACAATTTCTTTTTTTTTTTTTTTGGACTTGGCTACATTTTTTAACTCATTGTTGTCCTATCCTGTTTGAACTTGGTAGCATTTTGTGCAGCATGTGCACAAAATAAGAACTCATTAATCATCAATGATTTTTAAAAGTGCCAATTTATTGCCAATAAAAAATTCTGGACATTTTTTGTAACATTGATTTGAGCACATAGGCTGTTTTTTTTATGTATAGCTACAATGTGTATTTGTTGAGTTCTTTATGTTAGATTGTTGGGTCAGACTTAAAGTGGCTCAACAGACGGACAAAAAAAAAAAGGTTCCTCTGAAAATATTTGTTATGCCGGACAGAAATGAGAAGAAAAAAGTTGCCAAAGTCCAAAGGGTTTCTTTTGAAGGTGCTTCGGAAAGCCTTCAGAAGATTAAAAGAGGAACTGGCTCTTTGGAAGCACAAAATAAAACACGAGGGGTGACTCAAGACTTTTGCACAGAACTGTAAATGTGTCCTTTCCTCTCAATCAGCTTGATTTTCTGTTGATCCCCTCGGTGGGGGGTGGAGTCCCAGAGAGACCAATCAGAGCCCCTGCTGGGATACAACTTATGAGAACAGAACACACAGGCACGCGCGCACACTTAAAGAAAGACACGAGTTTTCTCTCATTAAATAATGCACTGTATTGCTTTGTGCCTGTGCGCGCGCGCGCGTGTTTAATGTCTCATCCAGCATCGCAGATCCCGTGCTGTAATTGATGGAGAGGCCGGGCAGCACCACGGACAGCGACTTAACATCACACGCGCGTTAAGGCCCACAGCTGTTTGTTATGTAATGATCCACTGGATCGTGATCCAGTTTCTCATTTAAATAATCCTCCTCGTCCTCCTCGCCCGACAGACAGCCGAGAAGTGGACATTTGCGATCCGGTCTCCTCTTTCATTGAACGCCTTGAGAGTCTGCGGGGCACGCACGCGCGCACGCGCTTGATTCCGTGGTTTGAAGCGGGTGCTGCACACAGAGTACTCACGGATAAGACTCCTTCATCCAAGGTGCACCACAGATGTCAGAAAACTCTACCAGCAGAAGATCTAATGTTTTGGTCCAGATTGGAATATTTACGCACAAAAAAATAAAATAAAATAAATAAAATAAAAGCAAACAACCTCGGTGTTTACTTACTCGGATTTCCTCGCCAGGGTCAGAGACCGACACAGGGTTGTTGGGGTCACTGGAACCAAAGATCTACAACTGGGGCAACTTCCGCCGTTCTCTGACTCACTTTCCAAGAGGGAAATCGTGGCCGGGTCTGCCGGGACTAGCTGCATGTCCCCCGGGTCCATAGGTTGGGCCGGCGGGGGCTGGACGCCCGGTGCCGCCTCGACCTGTGCTGGTGCGGCCGCATGATGGTCCGGGAGAGACCCCCCACTTGCCTTGGGCTGGGGTTCCTGCGGGTGGTGGTGATGGTGGAGGCAGCTGGGGTCAGGGAAATGAAGATGGTGATGGTGAAGGTACTGCTGCTGGACCCTAACGTCCCGCAGGTGCCTGTTCTCACCGATGAGCTCGTCCACCCGCCGGTCCAGCTCCTCTATCCGGGCGCGCTGGGTCTGGATGAGACTCTGTTGGTTCTGCACGATGGTGGTGAGCTCCCGCAGGTACAGAATAGCCTGCACCGGGTTTTCTAGCAAGCTGGAGCTCATAGTATCCGAGGCACGAGAGGAGAGGAGAAAATAAAAAAGGGGGTGAACCAGAGAGAGAGAGAGGAGAGGTGGATGGAGGGATGAGGAGAGGCAGATAACTGAACGTCCTTCTCTTTCTCTCCTTGTTTCTGCTCGCTTGTAGATGAAGCTGCGCCTCCCGAGCCGGTCGTTTCCCTCCCTGCCTCCCTCCCTCTCATCCCACTGCGCTGAGTGGTGCTGATGAGAGGAGCCGGATCCAGATGTGACAGGAGGAGGGAGGGGGAGGCGCTGCCAGACGGGTGCGTCATTACGCACGAGAAGAGGCCAGAGCAAGCGCGCACCCTACAGGTACAAGAAGTTGTTGCTCCATGTGAAATAGGTGACAGTGGAGATAATTCGCTTTTGAAGAGATGAAAACGTGTTTTTTGTGGGCCGCAGCAACCCGCTGTTGCGTTCAAGTTCACACTCATTATAATGGTTTCATCAGACATAGTAACATGACCTGAGCTTTATCGGGTTCTAAGATTATTCGAATTTAATCTGAATTCGTGCAAAAACGCACAACCAATTTTATTATTTATATTTAACAAATGCTGTGTGGAGAGAAAAAATATAAAGTCTATCCCATGAGCCATCAAGCCAGCCATCCAATATCTTTTACACGCTTCTTGCAGGGTCGCGGGGGGTCACTGGTGACAGCAATAAGTGAGAGGGCAGGGTACACCCTGGACTCAAGTCCATCTTCATGAGCCAATATTTTGTAAAACTAACTTTTTTCCATTTTATGTGAAAAAAATGCAAATCCGGTGCAAAACAAACCCTCAATATAAAATATTTTCTTAGAATGAAGGGAATTCTTTTGTAATTTAAAGACAAACAAAACTTTATTTGACAGTGTTTCTGAAAATCATTAGCGTGACATTATAGAAAACCTCTCAAAATAGATACTAGGAGTAGAGGAAGTGGCTGCGCTTCAAAGTCGTCTTCGGTCCTTAATTTTCCGAGTTACCTTAAAGGCAGCACTGATTACAACAGAGTCACGTGACGCAATTTACGGAAGTAATGTAGCCGATGTTTTGCTAGCAGACGGCTATCACTTAAAGCGTAGCCTCTCACCGACAAACCTCTATTTTGTTACGATTTTTTTTTGTTTTAATTTTTGTGAACAATTTAACAAAACACATGGTCAGGTAAGGCTGTTATTTCTAAAATGACACGGTATGAACGGGTGCTATTCACGAGCAAGTACTGAGCTGTTTCATAAATTAATTTTGACGTCGTATCTGCAATAAACTGTTCGCATTTTCCTTAGCTGTGAAATATTTGCTTCATTATCAATTTGAGCTGATTTGCAGAAGAAAAACCTCGCGTCTTCGTCATGTGGGAGTCATGTGATGACGACGGAGTGGAGAAGTTGTGTTGAAGTCCAGTAATGATATTACCATGCTTAATGTGACTGTAAATGAGACACTCATATGTAGTTTAGCATTAAAGTACTGTTTTCATCATGAGAGTAATTAGGGCTGTGTATTGGCAAGAATTTGGCGATACGATACATATCATGGCAGAGGGGTCACGATATGATATATCCCGATATACAGTATTGCGATACTATAAGCAAGGCGATATATTGCGATTTTTTTTTGTCCAAAAATTCTATTAAATAAAAACCTCTTACAGGGGAAAAAATAAAAAACCAAAATTCATTGTCTCAGAAAATTCTAATATTACATATACATACTTTTGATAC